GACTATAAACTTTGTTGTCATAAAACAACACCCAAGATGAACTTTTAATGCATTCCAATTTTTTCATCCAACATCTGATTGAGGTGATTTACATGTTTACAGAGAGCTTTCTTCTAGTACTAGCTAATGGCACAATTTCACAACCAAATTATCTTTCTATCAAAAGTGGGACACACTTTTTAATTTTTACTCATTTTTCATAAAAACTCAAAATTAGAGTGCCCAAACTCCAATACATGCGCCAAAAGCTTACACCAACTTTTAGACCACACTCAATAGACCGTTTAGGACTTATACAACCTACCATAGTCAATCAAATATACATATTATACAAATTCACCACTCAACCTCTTGATTTACAAAAAACAAGAAAGGGTAGATAACTTGCATCAAATCATTAATATTTATCTAAAACAATGCAAATGCACTTTACCTTACTTGCACTAGTATTTCAATCCTATTTAAGCTTTACAACCATATGCCAATAACTTAGAGCATGAAAGACACAAAAAACTTTCAATTATAATGCAAGTAATAAAATAATAAAATGAAATCCTAGTTGGTAAATCAACCATCAAAATACATATATGAGTAAATCTAGAGCCTTATTAATATGATTTTCACTCAGCCCTAGGCCTCTAGTTATTTTCCCAATCTTGATTTGATGAGCTAGATTTTAAAATATTGAATAATAAGAGGTGAGCACAACCACTTAGTAATCAAGGTTAACTAGCCTATACAGTTACATATCAATTAAATATAGATGCAAATGGCAATGACTTCAATCGCATACACCACAACAATAACAACTATGTGACTAGGCATACAAACCTATCATTAGATACATCATAATTATACATATCTTAGGGTTGTAAAAATAATAACCTTACACCCCAAAACATGCTAGACTACAATAATAACAACCATATGGCCAGAATAAAATGTATGATCAATGTCAATTTTATACCCTCCTATTACCTCCAACATGAAACTAGTGCTATTAGTGGCTATATCCATAACTTAGACTAACTTAAGTTTTATTTGTGAGGAGCTACCAGGCCAAGGTTAATTCAATTACTCATTTATTATAGTTTCCCTCAATACTAACAAGTATGAGGTGTCATGCTTTTAATCTAGCCTCCTTATGAATTGACGGAGATTAGTTAGGTTTGAGTCCCTCGAAGAACAAGTGGAATAATCCTGAATCGAACATGTACCTCCTAATTTCCAATGGTTGATGCTAAGGCTAGCTTTTGATTCCAACGGTAAGCATCACTATCACGTGGATTTAAAAAATTTAGCCCTTTTCCTAGACGAAACTCTTACCAATGATCATGCTATTACATATTAACACATATTATGCAATTCTACCAACAATCATGTCATATCACATCCATAACCATATTTTCTCCATTATATAACAACATATCTCCGCATGCCTAATATCACTAGTTATTCATTTTCATAAATGCATGTATATATTCATTATCATTCATTATCATTAGTAACATATGTATTCATGCATATTGCCCTCAATAATCCTACACAAATTCACGCCACAATTTATCACATTTCTAACATTTGCATCAATGGGTTTTCAAACACCAATAAGTTTTCAAATCATTAAATTCAACAAATAACTAATTAATAAACAATTATACAAACTAGATTTCCCCCAGTTATCTCAAACCTTTAAGAGGTTAAATGTTTACCCACAAAATACCAACTTTCAAAGCTTCTTTTCAAACTTAAATGGTGCTAATTGATTAATCTGTAATTATATCACAAGGATAACATCATTACCCCAATTTTGGGCAATTTTTAACATCATAACTCCACCTAATCCCTTTCAACAAAGTCATAAGCTTACTCTCAATCATACCTAATGAATTTATTAGATCCCAGCAACTCATATTGTTATTACTAAGCTAACAATCACTATTAATAATTACTAAACGCTCTTAACTCCCATAATAAATGCCAATTTTGTGGCCATTAATGGCTCCCAACTATCAACAATTCTCAAAATTATTAATGTAGGGTCTAAATACTCTAACCACTCCCATTATTCTTGTTTTAGCCATTATATTCAGACCCATAACTTATATGAACCGAAAATCACTCTCCTAACTCAAATCCTAACTTTAATCCTTATAATAATGGAAGGAAAGGGAAGAGAAAGACATAATGTACTTACCTTATGAGTTAGAAATCTTTAATATCTTAATGGTTCCAAATTTCGTATGGTTCCAAATTCGTGCCTAGTAGAGCAATAGGTGTGCTTTCTTTTTTTTTTCACTCCTCTCTTTGATTTTTTGAACAGACACAAACTAATGTAAGCAAAATTTAAATTGTGCACTGTGGCACACGCAATCCATACCATAGCGTATGATACAGAGAGACCCATCCTTTGTTAGTTGCTCTGTGCATTGTGGCAGATCACACCACGGCATATGGCACAAAGCACTCTTTTTTAATTCTTTATCCCCTTTTGATGCCTGAATGGTATGACTTCACTTTGGACCCAAATTAAGGCTAAATTCGTAATCATACTTGCTTATTAGATCTCTCTAGCCACACACAATATTAATTCACTTAATTACTCTCCTTTCACTTAACCTAATCCTAATTAGTTTTTTAGGATGTTACATTTTGTGTTGTCAAATTTGTGCAATGTTCTATGGCACATGGCATGGAGAAGGATGTATCATAGTGCATAAGCGGGATGCCGTGATGCACCTCTACTCTGCTATACCAAAATGTTCCTTTTTCAACCTAATTGCAAATGCTTTGATACAATTTGGCATTCCATGCTTTTGTAAACATATTTTTGCGATGATTCTTATTTATGAAATTATTTTAGAGGCATTTTATGAGTTTGAAAAGTTGGGATCTGATTTATGTAAATTTGTACAAACTTAGTAATTCACTTGAGTTAGCTTGTGATTACCTTGATTTTAGAGTTAATTGTGGATTAGTAAAAGCAACCTTACACTAATCCTAAGTATTGGTGAATGATCCATACCAAACATATTAAATGTGATATTGCTCTAACCTAATCTCAATGTTGCTTATCCTTAAATGCCACATACCAAATGGGGCATTAAAGTTAAATAATTTGTAATAGCAGCACCCTTATCTTTTTTTTAAGGATTAAAGATTATTTTTTCTTTTTTTTAATAAAAAGTATTGGAGACCTTATACTAAGTGGTGAGATATTTTTCTCCTAAATAATTTTTTAAAAGCAAAATCATCATTTTTCAAACTTGTTATCCTCTCCGCTATCTTCTAGTGATCCCTCATGTTCTAATTTTGGGCTTAAGGCCGAACCAACCTAAGTATGCAGGGTTATGTTGGGCTTAATTTAGGGTAGGTGCACTCAAACAAAAGAAATAATTTTTTTTAAAAAAAAAAAGAAAATGACAAAGAGGTCTCAAAAAGATCAATTAACTTAAATTAGGTCCCAAGTATCAAACTTTATAAATTTATAAATCCATCTCTTAATTTTGTAAGTGCATTGTAATAAATTTATAATTTATTTTTTAAATTTTAATATGGTTGAAGAATAAAAAACATTGTTTTTCATGTTAAAATTTGAAATACAAGTTATAAATTCATCACAATAGAGTGAAGTTGTAAAATTGAGAGATTGAGTTGTAAATTCTTAAAATTTGATATTTAAAACTTAACTTAAATTAATTAATTTTTTTAAATTGTTTTTATCATTCTCCCAAAAAAATAGTGCCTCAAGGAGAAGAACTATTTTATATCACTACACCTAAAGGCTTTACTCGCAAAAGAAAAGAAATTAACTAGAGAAGGCCCGGCCATGATGAGAGAGAGAAATTGAAAATTTGACTATTACTATAATTTAATTTTGGGTTAAATGGAAATTTGATATTTTAAATTATAGGTCCAGAATATTATTTTAAACTTATTTTTAATATAATATTCTCCTTTAAAATTTTGAAAATGGTATAAAGTTACCCTTGTTATTAACAAAAATTATAAAAATTAACTTTGATTATTAGTTAATTAGAAAATAAAAAAAGACTAAGAATTTCTTGGTTATTTTCTGTATTTTTTGGGTCATTATTTGTAATTTGATTTTTTTTGTAATTTTCTTGATCACTTTTTGTAATTTTTGAGGTCATTTTTAAATCAGTTAATATTAAAGTTAACTTTTATTAATAGTAAAAGTAGAATGGATAATTTTAAAAGTTAAAAGAAAATATTATACTAAAAAAATTTAAATGCTCTTGGACATATATAATTTAGGGGTCAAATTGTCTTTTCCCTTTAATTTTTAACAACTAAAAACAGAAAATTAAGTTAAAATTAATATTTCAAAATTATTGTGGAATGATTTCATTTTCAAGTGGTTTACCATCTATATTATCAAAGTGTTGTAAAATACTTCTAATCTAGTTTCTATTTTTAGAGTAGTCGTGAAATTGGAGTGAAGGCTTAATTATTGTTCTAATCTAATTTCTTAACTATTGAAAATTGTAAGCTTAGTTGTAACTGTTTTGCAACTTACTTGAAAATTAAATTCATTCTCAAGTGGCTTGCCTTGTATTTCCAAGTGCATTGTAAAATGTTTTCAATATATTTTTGAGTTTTCAATATAGATCCATGAAATATATTAGAGCAATAGTTAAATTTGGTGGTCGCTTTACTATTATAGTGACAATGACTCCAATAGTTGTTCTGGTGCTTGCAATGGCCTTGGTCCTTGTCAAGGATTTTTGAGTTCGGTTGCACAACTTTGCCATCTTTGCGAGAGAGGTCACACACACACACACACACACACATTTTAATGTAACACTGAAAACTTTCATTCATATGAACAAAGAAAATACAATGAACCAAATCCAGCGAGCAAAATTAATTTTCATCATTCATTGCCTCCAAATCTAAAAATGGGAAACGATCAAAGCCACAAAAATCTTTAATAAACATATGAGCTAATCTATATCATAAACATATGAATTAATTTAAAAAATTTAGATCGTTTCTTGATTTATCCAAGTCATCTTTATATAAAAGCTATACTAATTTTTTCTTTTTTATCGTTTCAATTTTATTTGACATCCTTGAAAGGACAGATGTCACATATTTAAACTTGCGCTCATGTGCGTAAACGTTGTGCGTGTGGATATATTCGTGTATGTGCTTAATTGAAAGGTTTGGTCCTTTTGAGGATTTCAAAACTTGCAAACCCTGAAGTGCAATAATTGCTATTATTAATGCCAGTGCTTTGAAACTCATATCGGATGTCAAACCTGAAAGAGTAACAGTTGCGGTTTTCATTATTCAACTAATTAGATCGGTGGTCAAACAGATAATATAAAAATTAAATAAAAATAATATTTATATGTACAAATATATAAATAAAATATTAATTTGTCGATAATGTTTGGGATTTCGACTCTAAAGGCTAGATGCTTGGACCGCTGGAACTGGAGGCACTTCATCATGTCACGACTCACAAGCTTCTAATCTCGATGCCAAAGACTATATCACTAGAGTTGGAAGGAGAGGTTGGAGGAAAAGTCAGAGATTGAGCCTGAACCATGAAGAAGAGATTACACATTAGAAAAGAGAAGACAAGAGAGAATTAGTAATTAGAGAAAAAAAATCGTGAATCCAAGTGACTTAACCTAAATTTCTTTTTATTTTTTTTTTTTTTTTAGCTTTGAATTGGGTTGACCCACTCTGATTTTTAAGTTAAAGCTGGTTCTCTCTCAAAACTGGCTAGATCAGCTCAATTCAAATGCCAGATTAGTTTAATTAGTTGGACTAGAACGTTTTGTTTAGCTGGTAACTGTTAGACCAGTCAAATCATTCGATTCGGTCTAGTTTCAACAACATTGAGTAATGCAAAAAAAAAATGTCATTTTGCCAATAAGTAATTGGATATAAGTTTTATATTTTATATTGTTAAAAAAATGAAATAATAATTGTACCTCAAACTTATGTTCTTTCTCACAATCCTAAACATTCTCTCAAATCCTATCCCATTTACTATTTGGTTTTTTTTTTTTTATCTAGTATCTTACAAAATCTAGGCTACTTACTCAAATTAATTTGAACTTTTGGTATGAGATTGTTATTGTCACTAGTAACCTCATGGATATATCGTGAATGCCTTTAACATATTTATTTGTTGCAACTATATATCTTAAGATTTAAATTTGAGATTTTATGATAAGTTTAATGCAACTCTCAATTAATTTTACTAATACAACAAAAAAATTATTATAATTTTCTTATTTTGTGAATTTTTTCTACATTTATTCGATATATACAATTGAAATCTTAGATGTACGTTATTGCGTAGGAATTTGATTATAATTATATATATATATACACACATTATTTGTTTGAAAAGTTAGTGCAAAATCTTTGTCAACATTAAAAGCCAAAACCAATTGGTTTACCTTGTTAACTTAAAATTTGTAAAAGATATTATTTCTTTGCGTAACAAAATCAATAGATAGGAAAAATCCAAGACGGAGATTCCCTAATGTCGTGAGATTTGGGGTAACAAAAGCAATAACAACGTGAAAAAGAATATTCCCTAACCTTTGTACGTTAGGAGAGAGTTTTCTTTATTTTATCAATAATAATGGTTTTTTTTAAAACATTACTATTATTAAAAAAAACCACTATTATTAATAAAATAATAGTGGTTGAGTAATTGGAAAGTTGACAATAATATTTGAATCATAAAATAAATATTATAAAATTATAATGCATGATGATGACTATTAGTAAATTATGAGTAGTAAAGTATTTTTATGTAAAACATTTTCTTCATATTTTTTATTTGTTCCTCCTGCATATTTAATTTTTTTTACTATTTATCTATGTATTTTAATTGTGACTAACGTCATATATTTTAAGAGAAGTTAAATATTAAAAAATAGTAACTTTTCAATAAACTTGAGAATTGGTTAATCCAAAAAATACAGAAATTTTTAAATTATAGAAAAGGACTTACAAATAAATGTCCTATAAAAAATTAATATCAGTTAAGTTTCTCTAAATTATATATAAATTACAAAATATTTTTAATTATTTATTGTGTTTTTTCCAGCAATTATGATCTACTAATTACCTAGTAGTTAGTTAAATTGATTGATCAATATCATATTTTAATCTGAGTAAGAAATAACATTTGAATCGGATAATTTATATGTAATTTATAGAACTTAATTGGTATTAAATCGCTTGTAAGGTACTTATATATAATTTTTTTTGGTCTTCCTTTTATAATTTTTGAAAATTTTTTTATAATTTTTAAGATAATTGATGTCAAAGTTAACTTTTTATCAACCAATGTATCTTTTTTAAATATTAAAAGAACAATTTACATGTGCATGATCCAATGTATTTATTTCAAACGTTAAGAAAAATTATTTATCCTGATAATTTATATGTAATTTATAGAACTTAATTGGTATTAAATCTCTTGTAAGGTACTTATATATAATTTTTTTTGGTCTTCCTTTTATAATTTTTGAAAATTTTTTATAATTTTTAAGATAATTGATGTCAAAGTTAACTTTTTATCAACCTAATGTATCTTTTTAAATATTAAAAGAACAATTTACATGTGCATGATCCAATGTATTTATTTCAACGTTAAGAAAAAATTATTTAAATTATTTTACATATAAATTTAAGAATAGTAGACGAATAATTGAGGAAAAAGATATCAGTAATCTTAACTTTTTTGAAGAAAAAAAATTATCATTGCCCTTTTTTTTTATTTTTTATTTTTTACCAGCTTCATCTTTCAGTGAAGCACAGACGTAGAGGCGAAGGAATAAAAGGAGAACGTTTGCGTTAATTCCACTGTCTCTGTCTCCCTTGCTCGCTCATTTCCCTTTCCCTCTCCTTCTCCACCAGGGGGAGTCATTAATTTCCATTTCTTTCTTCAGCCTTAAAAAATCCGAGAGTTTGGGGAGAGATCTGTTTTTTTGTGAACAAACCAAGAGTGAAGGATCATGGGAGTGCTCTCGAACAGGATCGATCGGGGAGAACTGAGCCCCGGTGATCACATTTACTCGTGGAGGAGGCAAGGCACACATTTATGCGCATCACGGTCATCCCTTCTCTGCTTGTCCTTCTTGATTACTTTCTGTTTCTGCTTTTATTTGTACTTGATATGGATGTATTATAAAAAAAAGGATTTTTTGGATCGGGTTACTCTGTCTGGTTCTTTCCGAGTTTCCAGTTTTTCTTTTTGTGTTTACTATAGCACAGGTTATTGGGTTTTTCCCCACTTTTTATGTGATCTTATGCAGGTTCTGGTCGTGGTTTGTTTTCTCGGGTTTGTTTATTGGCGGGAATAGGGGCTGGTCTAATTTAATTTAATGATAACTATTAGATTATTTAGATAATCTGTGTATCGATTAAGCTTTCTTGGTCAAATTGCAAGTTTGTGTTGTGTCGTTTAGGGATTAAGTTCCTTGTTCATATCGTATTTTTGTACGCGCTAATTATATGTTAAAATACTCCAGTTAATGTTCACAAAAAATAATAATAATGATAATAAAAGAAAAAAGTGGATGGGAGGTTGTATTTTGTTGAATTTCTCAAGTTCGTAATAGTGTCAGAATGGTTTTGGCCATTTCCAAGTGATAGCATTTGGTCCTGCAACATTGGGTAATTTATCGGGACGCCTAAGAAAAACAAGCGCCCTGTACAATGGTAATTCATTTTTCAAGCTCGCCAAGGTTACCAATGATGCTTGACATTTAAATCTGCAGCCTTAGCTTTTGGGTGGCTACTGGTGTGACCTCTTGCTTCCATCATGTAAATTGAGTTGGACAGCCAATCTGACACTAAGGTTACTTTTGTCAACTCCCAGTTAGAAACCCCTAGTGGCTTCGGTTACTTTCATCATAATTGCAATGTTTTTGAATCAAGTAACATTATTTGTATTATAAACTATGAGACATTAGTGGCACAATGATGCTTGTGCATTTGAATCTGGAAGTTCCTGAATTTTTTCATGCTTGCTGCAATATTTGAAGGTTTTATACAGGCCTTGTAGATTTAAGGAATGAGAAAATATTGTCCCAATGTTCACCCAGGGAATTTGCTTGTGCAATGTAATTTAACGTTGTACAAAATAAAAATACTAGATCTGAACTTTCATCGCCAATAAGGTACTAAGAATCCTTCCAGTAAAGAAAGGATTTTGATAGGTGTAAAGGGCTAAAGTGTTAAGGTGCCTAGGCAAATAAAGAGCCTATTGCTATAGCACAGGAAAACGAAGCCTATAACTAATTAGTTGAGTTTGGGCAGGAAGGACCCTCCAGCCTGTGAGTCAATTCATCCATCACTTAAACTCTCAAGCCATATGAACAAAGCTAACAATGACCTGAAGCTAAGATTATAATTAGGTGGACAGAAATTCCTTGTGCTGATTGTTGTAGGTTCAAGTTCAAACCCTATGAGCATCGAAATAAGTAGTCACCATCTCCAAGGCCAACTTCACTTGCCACGTTGGAAGAAGACTAAGCAGGAAATTCTGAATAGGGAATGTCCTTCAAGGAATATGTCAGGGAGCATTTACTCAATAAGATATAGTGGAGATTCCTTGAATGACCTTTAAATGACAGTGTGTGATTTAAGGTCAATATCTGGATTAGATCCCTTCTCGATAGCTTGAGTCAGAGCTCATCCCTTGAAAAAAGGGATTAGTGATTATCGTGCAGAAAAAAAGTTGTGAAGTAGGATCCGGGAATTGCAATATTGATGGGAAAGCTATGCTTTCCCATCTTAGGCTTCAAGAAGAAAGAGTGGCTTTTCTTCAGCTCTTCACTAACCATTGGCAATCCTGTTCATGTTGGGAAAGCATTACCTATTTACCTTAAGTGGGGCCAAGAAGTGAAATGAAAAGCATTGCTTAACACGCTGACTTCAGTTCTCTTTCCTCAGTCAAGGTCAGCAGAAGTTGAATCTAGCTCAGTGGAGGTCTTTGCTTTTGCTTTTCATGAATTTGACTTGAAGGTGATATTGTGATGACGAGTGTTGTGGCTGTGATCCCATTGCATATTCTTCTGCCAGAAGTTAACGATTCTTAACCATGAGAATCACAGTTCCTCAATGTTTTGGTGGATGAATTGACGGGGAGACAGTAATGTATAAATGTTGTAAAATGTTATGGATAGATGTTCTAGCAATCTAGTTCATGGACTTCTGTCATCTTGTTTCTGATATGAATTGTATTGTTATTCACTTATGATAGAAGAATTGGGCCATTGGGGTGGGAGATTTTAAAAAATTATGTGCATCGATTAATGGATAAAAAACAATTGTGTCTTTTGATGTTCAAGGTTTCTTAGTTATTAGCACAAGCCAAGTTTGTGTGTGTGGGGGGGGGGGGACTGAAAGTCAGGGTTGTGTTTGACATTCAGAAAATGGAACAATTAACACTGCCTATTGAGAAACGGTATGGATAATGCATTCTGCAAACATTTGATCCATTTGATCAGCAGTAAAATCAAAAGAACTGTTCAGAACCTTCAGTATCAATTCCTTGCATCATGCATGGGAAATTTTTATTAAAGAACAGTTATGGGAGCGAGAAAGAAATTATCTGCAACAACAACAACAACGCCTTTATCCCACTAGGTGGGGTCGGCTACATGGATTGCAAGACGCCATTGTGCTCTATCATTTATTAAGCTTTAATAGCAACGCGTCCTAGAATTAGTTAGCATCTTGTCCTTATTTATCCATGCTAAGATTGACCAACCTTTGAACTTTTTGCATGTCGTGGTTGTTTTCCAAATCTCATTTACAAATATGTACATTTTCTTTTGGATTGGCAAGAATCAATTTTTTTTTTTTTTGGTTGCTTTAATTATAATGCGCATCTTACTGAAATGACGATTCTGTATTGCCCATGTCATTTGTACAAGACAACAGGAATATATGTTGGGGAGGGAATGGTGATCCATTTCACTAGAGGAGGTCAAGAAATTGGAACAGGAACTTTCTTGGATCGTTTCTTTTCGAGTTCATCTCCCACTCATTTTGCTGACAATCCATGCCCAAAGTGTGGTGACCAATCAAAGCTTAACGGGGTCATTTCTTCATGCTTGGATTGTTTTCTTTTTGGTGGTCATCTATACCGCTTTGAGTATGGTGTCTCACCAGCATTTTTTCTTGCCAAAGCTCGAGGAGGCACCTGCACACTTGCCTCATCAGATCCACCGAAAGATGTCATCCACCGTGCTAGATATCTTCTCCAAAATGGATTTGGTGGCTACAATGTCTTCAAAAACAACTGTGAAGATTTCGCTATTTACTGCAAAACAGGCCTTCTTGTGAGCACTAACATCAGTGTAGGCCGGAGCGGGCAGGCAGCATCTTATGTGGCTGCTGTTAGTGCAGTAGTTTCTTCACCACTTCGCTTCTTGACCACTAGTTTCAGTGGCCTGGCACTGGTTGGTTGTGGCATGTACTGTGTTAGCCGTTTTGTTTCTGATATGGGAGTGCGCCGTGATGTAGTCAAAGTTCCTGTGGAAAGGCTTATAGATCCGTCTGGCTTGGAGGAACCAGCCAGGGCAAATGAGATTGACCAAAACAGACTAGATGAAGCTGCACAAAAATTGGATAATGCTAAGTTAGGGAAAGTTTAGCGATTTGTCTCCCTTTGGTGAGTATTTTAATATTTGAAATGCGATTTGCTTATTAACAATATGTGTGGTTTTTATTCACGAGTTGGGAGTGTGCAAGATGTTTGCCACAAATGATGAAGTCATTTGAAACTAACAATACCTATTATTGCAATGCTTTGTTGTGTGTATATGAAGTTGTTATGTGAACCATATTAGTCCTTATTATTTATTGAAGAGACCTTAAGATGTTCTAAGATATGCATTCACATGTTTTGATGTGGATTCTAATTTGGGAGAATTACACAGAAGTTCTTCACAACATAAATAAATGCCACAAGGTTCATCGATACTTAACAGGGTATAGTTTTTACTTTGCGCTGCAAAGTTGTTGATGAACCTTTGATATTTAATTGTATTACAGGAAATCTTAATGTAATCCCCTTCTAATTTCGCTGTGCTGAGAAGAGATGTCATGCCCATATAGCATGTTCCTTTTGGTAAAAACAAACATAAGAAATGAAGAAGAATATGGTCAAGAGTTAGAGAAAGTAAAGAGAATATGGTCAAGAGTAAGAGATGGCCATTCGTCAGAAACATGTATACTATTTAGAACTAACAAGCCTCATAGGTACCTTAACCCTCGATTAGTGATACAATTTGAAGCAAGATCCCTTTCCTTTTCTTGGATTAGTGACATAAATGTTGCGTACCATTATAGTGACTTGAAGAATGGCTTTCAAATGGGGCTTCATTCTAGGTTACGCTACTTAACCCTCAAGAAAGCTCTAGTTACTTCCCAATACTGCAATTGAATGCCAAATAAGAAATGATTTGGATACGGTGAGTTGTTTAAGTCTACTCATTTAATAAATATCTTAACTATAGTTATTGAATTTTTTAATACTTTAAAATTATTAAGATATATTTTCTTTTAAAAATTTAAAATAATTCTTGTGATCGAAAGACTTCTCATATATGTTGTCCTATTTAAAAATTTAAAATTTAATACTTTTTGAGTAATATATAACAATTTTTTGTAGCAGTTTGATTAAATTGAATTGTCATTATCATAACATGTGAGACATTTGTTGAATGAATAACCACTTACGGGATTCAAATCCAATAAGAAAGGGGAAAAATTGTGTGTTAACCACTTAAGGAAAAATTGTGTGTTAACCACTTAATTTAAGACTCAATTATAAGATATATAATGAACTTTTTAAATTAATTTTTAGAATATGACAAAAGACGTTAGTTGTTAGACTTTACGAGTTAATCTTATAGTTAGGTCTTAGTTTGTGAGATAAATATAATTTTTGAACGATAAAATTGTTTAGGAGTAAAGCTAATTCAATTATCTATTTACATATGATACAACTTGATGCGTTTTTGTCTCCTCTCGTCTGGTCTCGGATATTTATTTTGTGTTGAAAACTATGAATCTAATTTATCACAAATTTTAATACATTCCAAATAAATAGTTGATACTTTTTTTATAAATTAATAGTTGATGCGTGATCTATTTAAGGAAATCAAATTTTGAACTTTGTTTTCAAATTAAAGTACCATCTATTAATGCAAATACATATTTTTCATTGGAGATATTTTAAAAAAATAAAATTTAGACTACATTTTTAAAATTAAATAAAATTTTACGTAATCTCAATAAAAATAAACATTTTGTATAATTCACGTGAACATTTTTTAAAGAGAAGTGCAATTTACCGGTTCAATTCAAACTTAAAGCCCAAACGAGCAGCATTTTCTTTTTGGGTTCAGTGAAACAAGCCATGGTTGGTAGAGTTGCACAATACATGACGCAAGTTTAGCACTCAATATGCCGCGAAGGTAAAATAAAATAAAATAAAGAAAGAGCGAAAAAAAGAAATTAGGTCAGGATCATTTATCAATATTATGCTTTATGCCACTAGATGTGAGGCATGAACTAACAATGTAAAGAGGTAAACGGAAGACAAAAAAAAGAACAAAGATGGGATTTAAAATCAAGAAGTGTAATGTCGCAATTCTTCTACTCGATTTTGCTACTCTTGTGTGAAGAATGGAAGTAGGATTTTGAAGTTTTATCTGTTTCACTTACAAAATTAGTGTGACATACAAATAGGATAGGAACCCTACATAGTGATAGGACAGCATGCTAAACATCCCACTGATGCTAACATCCAACACATTCAAACAAAAAGTTTTCTTCTTCTAGTAAGGCCAAAGATCAATTCCACCAGGCTTCTTTACAAGTATTTGATTGTATTCAGGCCTCGACGTCTGCAATGGAAATAATCAGTTATTAACATGCACTTGCAGAGGCAATAATTGAATATTAGGCAGGGAACAGGGGAATATGGGGACTAGAGATAAAGATCATAGGCATCGTTGCCAAGCATTTCAACATATCAAGACCAACTGTGAATTAAAACACCAGTTACTTACTACTAATGAGTAATGAACAATTTAACATCGTCAGGAACACAGTAATGCAGAGACAGTGCAGAACCTTGTTCAAGTTCCTTGCTCAGCTATGAAGAAGAAGACAGCACTAAACCTGTTGCAGTTGTCTTCCGGTCCTAGATAGGGATGGCAATTTCCCCGTTAGTGAGATCTCCTATGGTATTGCCCCCATGTAGTGGTGATAGGAGAAATTTCTCTCCCTTAAGACACAGGTGGGGGTAGGGTACTCCCTGTCTAAAACAAGGGAAAGGGGACCAGATTCGGGAAAATGCAGAAGGAAGGCTTCTCTGCCCCTGTGCAGTTGCCGCCCCTCCTAATCAACAACCGTATCATGCTTTGGAAATAAAAAAAAAAAAAAAAAAAAGTAGTCTCTAACTAAAGCTGGGGAATCTTAATATGTACATTCCCAAACTTACATTCTGGCCATTGCTTTCCAAATTCTACAGCAGGGATTGCAAATATCAGCCAATAGTATTAGACAAATTGTACCAGTGTGTAGACCGTTGGATATTACACTATTCTATGAAAAATGAGAACCAATTGTTGATCCAACAGTGATACTTCAAATAATGAAAATGAAGGAAACAAACAATATTGACCACGTTACTAGAGAAAGCAGATCTCCCTGCTTACTAATACTAATCTAACATGGACAAAAAATTGTAACTCTGTAGAGCAATAACTTTGTTTATAGCATCAATTTATCACATGTTACACAAACATCCTAAAAAGAGAGGAACTCCCATAAAGTTTTTACATGTTTGGTATCATAAAGGAAAAGGAATCCCCCTCGATTGCAAAAGGAGAGGGAAAAAAAAAAAAAGAAGAAGCAATATATGTCATGTTCTTGTTGGCTCTATGAAACAGAATGAAATATGCAATGTCTATTGTGACTTCATCATTACTCAACAATGTCTCTCTTCTCATCACTGCTTTTTAGTAAGGCACGGGAGTCATCTTCCACTAACATCTTCGTTTTGTTTCTCTTTACATACCAAATGGCCCCATGGTTATTCCATCAGATTTGAACAATGGAGCCCTTAACTCTTTCTCCAGTTATATAGTGTGAAATTCTCAACCTATAGATGCATTTCTCTGTAACAACAGAACAAATAATAAAGAAACAGAAGCCTCATCAACCATTTCCTGGGAACTTTCCAGTTTCCACCAGTTTACTGCCAACAAGTGAGACCTCGATAAAAGGCTTCGTTTATTAATTCCATAAACTAAGAAAAGGATTAATCTACCACCTCAAGTGATAATATATGCACAATATATTAATTCACAAGGAAGTTATGTTATTTACAAGAGCGAAATTCTATAAAAATGATCAACACTGGTGACAAATCAACCATAAATCCATCAGATCCGAATATTGAGATGTAAACAGGGTAATGTCAAGGTCAATCTGAATTATTCCTTAGGACTAAACATTAAGAACCAAGTTGAACATGTACAAAATTATTCACATCCACACCAACAAATTCGAAGTTTAGATAAAATCATTATCAATATTTACAGCTAAACCACAGATAGAAAGGATAAAGAGGGGAGAACTTACAATGTCTTTGAAGATAACATACGCGATGACAAAGAATAGAAGGAAGAGGATCTCAAACTCGGCGAATCTGACAAAGGCAAAGACGGATTCTACCGCCCGGGTCAAAGCCGATGGATCGCTGGTTCCGGTTCGCCGGCTCATCGCTGATCGAAGAATTTGTCGTCGGAAGAGATAAGGAAGTTCTGGAGTTCGGTGACACCTGAGAAAAGCAGAAAGCGAAACCAGGATTGGAAAAAAACCAACAAAATCTGGGACGACCCGGTCAGAATTTGTTCTTCGTGTTTCGATTCTCTTTAGGCGCTTCCCTGCTGTGCGTCTCCAGGTTCGCCAATATGTAGCGTCAGTTTAATCTGGCGGTAAAATCACCTCGCCTTATAAGGCCTCCTCGTTTTATAAGGGTTAATCCTGGCCCTTCAACCGACCTTTTCAGTAAAATTATCATCTAAGGACCCCTGTAATGTTTAAATATCAAAGAAAGACACTAAAAAGGAACATCACTGCAACCCTGAGACATATGTGAAAATAAGATTTTGGGGGAAAAAATCTAATCACCCCTATAGCATTTTACAAGTATTGGTATAAACAATAAAATATTTGATTATTGATAAGTTACTGTATATAATTAATAAGTGAATATTTATTCATGAATAAGTTACAAAAATTTATAGACCTAATATATTATTTTTAACCAAATATTTTGTTATTTATATGTAAGCAAGATTTGTAAAATTAAACTATGCCTACTAGTTTTTGTAACCTCTTGTTTATGGACAAATATTTGCTTGTTAATTATGCATAATAATTTGTCAATAGCTAATAGACTTGTAAAATTAAACTATATCTACTAGTTTTTGTAACTTTTTATTTATGAACAAATATTTGCTTGTTAATTATGTATGATAATTTGTCAATGGCTAAATACTTTGTTGTTTATATTAGTGGAAGACTTGTAAAATTAAATCAAGCCTGTTAATTTTTTTAAACTTATTTATAAATGAATATTCATTTATTAATTATATATGATAATTTATTAATAGTCAAATGTTTTATTATTTATATTGGAGTAAGACTCGTGAAATGTTGTAGGAATAACTGGGGTACCTCTCCAAAAAATATGTCCCAGGCTTTCGGGAGATGCAATGATATTTCAATTTTTTTAAGTTATTCTTTAATAAATTAAAATGCTACGGGAATCTTTAGATGATATTTTCCTTTATTTTATACATCAATTTTTCTTTAAAAATAAAAATATATCTTTTTTATATTTTTGTATCCGTCTTTTTAAATACCAACTTTTTTTGGCCAAAAAATACAAATGCTTAACACAATTGCACAAACAAACTGTTACGTAGAGTAAGACTCACGAGGGTATCCATATATTCTTTTATTTTTTTAGTTTTAAATTTAAAGGCAAAAGTTTAAGAGTTTTAATTTATTTTTTTATAATAACTCAGGAACATTTGAGGTAGGTTAAATGTTGATTCTAATAATTGAATTCAACAGTACTCAAATTTGACCTAATAATCATATAAAAATAATTAAATTGTATGAATAATAAAATAAAATGGTGTGAATAATTTATTTAATGGTTGAACCGTTGAACGAATATTTGGCCAAAAAATGGTTGAAGGAACAAGAAAAATTTTATTGATCATTTTCAAATATATATATTGTTGGAATATTATTTATGAATTGGTATTAATCAATAAGCCCAACAATTTGGTCTTTATGATCTTGTATAGACCGTGATAGGTGGACCACACAAGTAAACCCAACGGACAGAGGCCAACTCACAACTCAGTAGCTGTCAGTTATTTTCTATCTCTTAATTGATTGAATCAGAGATAATGTGATATAATTATTTTAATTATGTAATAAGGCCGTTACCAATCTGATCTATATAAGTTGATCAGTCGATAACCACAAATACACGACTCATTTTCTTCTACTCTATTATCTATGAACTCTAAAGACTCTGGGACCTGTGGGTTGTGCATCTGTCTACACTCGAGGTAATCGAGTTTTTCAAATGCTCATGAATTCTTTAGGTATGCATATATTCTTTAATTTTTTTATTTATATGAATTGAGATAATGAATTATAACATATACATACATATATATATATATATATATATATGTTTTTTTCTTTTCTCTCCTGTACCAGTCACTTAGACTTGGTTTTCATGTTTATCATTGCAATGAGATATGAACCATTTAGGTGGTTTAAATTTAAAATATTATTATATATTATATTTATTAAAATAAAAAATTTATAAAAGTTGTAAAATAACTTTAATAAATTTTTTTAATATAATATAATTTAATTTAAAAGATTTACTTTAATATTAAAATTTTTATAATTAATGCATATTGAATATTTATATATACTCTATATTTCAGATTTAATGAAAATGAAAATCAGGTCTGACTCACCGGCTCTTCCTTACCTGTAATTCTAACATGATTTACTTCCCCAGGAGTGTTCTATATAATTATAAATATTACGTGATATCTCTTATAAGAACAGTGTTGTATTGAGCAGTTTCGAGCGCGTCTTTTGTTGTCTTCGTCGTCGACATGGAGGATCTCCGGCCAAACCCTGCAAACACTCCTCCACTCACTCCGTTAGGCTTTCTCGATAGAGCTTCCATCGTCTATGGTGACTGCACCTCTATTATCTACAACTACACCACCTTCACTTGGTCCCAAACCCGCCTTCGTTGTCTCCAACTCGCCTCCTCCCTACGCTCCATCGGAATCCGTCGCGGCCAAGTCGTTTCAGTCATCGCCCCCAACATCCCTGCCATGTACGAGCTCCACTTCGCCGTCCCCTTTTCCGGCGCTGTCCTCAACAATATCAACACCCGCCTTGACGCTCGCACTGTCTCTGTCATCCTCCGCCATGCTGAATCCAAGCTCGTTTTCGTCGATTATGTCTCACTCAATCTCGTTCTCGACGCCATGTCCTTGCTCCCTCCAGAGATTCAACGTCCTACCCTCGTCCTCATCACTGATGAATCCATCGAACAAACTTCATTAGAAGGCTTCATGGATACGTACGAAGGTTAGTAGAAAAAGGTGATCGGAATTTCCAGTGGGTCCAACCTAAGAGGAGTGGGATCCGATGGTTTTGAACTACACGTCGGGCATGACGTCATCTCCGAAAGGGGTAGTTCATTGCCATCGAGGCATGTTCATGGTGACCATGGATTCTCTGGTTGACTGGGCCGTCCCCAAACAACCAATCTAATTGTGGACGTTGAATATGTTCCACGCTAATGGTTGGAGCTTTCCATGGGGGATGGCAGCCGTCGGAGGAACTAATATCTGCATGCGTAAGTTCGACGTCGCCACAGTCTTCAGTCTGATCGAACGCCACAATGTGACCCATATGTGCGGTGCACCTGTGGTCTTGAATCTGCTAACAAACTCCCCAACCAGTAAACCCTTAAAGAACCCCGTTCAAGTCCTCGCGGGGGGAGCACTGCCGCCACCGGCAGTGCTGAGCAAAATAGAAGCGTTAGGGTTCGTGGTGAGTCACGGCTACGGGTTAACAGAAACAGGTGGGTTGAATGTTTCTTGTGCATGGAAGCGAGCGTGGAACCACTTACCGGCAACGGAGAGGGCACGGCTGAAGGCAAGGCAAGGGGTGAGAACCATCGGGATGGCGGAGATGGACGTTGTGGATCTGGATTCGGGTAAAAGCGTGAAACGCGAAGGGTCGACCCTCGGAGAAGTGGTTCTTCGTGGCGGGTGCATCATGTTGGGTTACCTAAAGGATCCGGAAGCGAACTCCATGTGCTTCAAGAATGGCTGGTTCTACACAGGGGACATGGGGGTGATGCATCCAGATGGGTACTTAGAGATTAAAGATCGATCCAAGGACGTCATTATCAGTGGGGGTGAGAATGTAAGCAGTGTGGAGGTTGAATCGGTGATATATAGCAACCCAGCGGTGAAGGAGGCGGCGGTGGTGGCGAGGCCGGACGAGCTATGGGGAGAGACGCCGTGCGCGTTCGTGAGCTTGAAGGAGGGATTGGAGAAGAAGCCGACAGAGAAGGAAATAATGGAGTATTGCAGAGCAAAGATGCCGCACTTTATGGTGCCCAAAACGGTGGTGCTTAAGGAGGATCTTCCCAAGACTTCGACTGGTAAGATTCAGAAGTACGTTCTGAGAAAGGAAGCCATAGATATGGCATCCTTGCACATTGATGGGGGAGAATAGAATAATCTACTGTTAGGTTTCGGTCATGATCGTCAAGTGTGTACGAAGTATTAAGTTTTTTTTTTTTTTGGTTTTTTTTAGTATTATAATCTGGCCTGGCCTCCCGACATTAATGGGCAGGACTATATTATGTGTTTTTTATATGAATACATGAATGAGTTAGATTTCATTATTGGATGTAATTGAGAGTAGCTTTTAAAATATATTTTGCATTTGTATAAACTTAATTCAAGATTTCATACGTTGACCGTCATGATATATTTCACTTGGACTAAATACCGTTGGTTATATTATATGCTTAACCTCAGTTCTCCTCAAAATAAAATTAAATCATATATAATTCTAACTTCAGTCTTATTAGTAAATTATGAAGCACATCAGTTGTTGTAAATTGTCATGACATTGGAGAATTAAAGATGGGAACTAAAATGATAAGTTATTTACATAAAAAAAATCTTACACTTTTTTCTAATAATAATAAAAAATAATCTTACATCACTACTAGAAAAAATCAATTTACTGAGAAATTCCGTCCCTTACTAATTTTATTGCTAGAAATAGCCTTACTAAATTTAAGGCCAAAATAAATTTTATCACTAATTTAGTGAGGGATTGTAAGGAATCTGATCATTTGCTAATCCATTGCTAAAACATGCATATATTTAAAAATAGTTACCTAATACCATATCACCGGCCACATGGGCCAACTCATACCATACCACTTGATTGATACAAATTCATCCCCCACCTCGTCACATCACCTATTAACTATCATGTCATATATTTATTATATTTATGCCTTCCTAAGTCTTTTTTTTTTATTAGTTGAACTAAAATACATCAGCAGTTATGATATAAAAAATTAAATATATATTATTTAACTACATAAATATATCAAATAATATATTATAAAAATATACACGTATATTTTGGACTATTTTTTATTAACCCCCATCTTAAGTTGGTGGATGATGAGAACACACACACACATACACACAAAATACACAATATATTTTAGGCACACATACTAACTATATTTTAGGAAAAATTAATCATTTAATTCTTGTAGTTTTAATCTAGTTATAATTTAGTTCCTAAAATTTTGATTC